ATGGCATTGTGTCCTCTAAACCTGGGGGGTGTTGTAAGGAAAGGTAGTATTACAAACTGGGACAAGATGTAAGGTAGAATTATTTCAGTTCACCTCTAAAAGAAGCATCCTGTTCTTTTTATCTTTGTTCATGTCAAACAGTATGTGCAACTCTGATGCTCGCTGCTTTCACCATGTCCCGCCTCGAATAACATTTGTTCAACACTTTGAACACAGGAATCCTGACAGACACTTTTTTTTTTGAAGCTTTCAGATGCTGCTCTTCACAGCCGGGGGTGTCAGCCTCCATTTCTCATCTTCCTCATTTCAATGTACCTCACAAATGACATCTTAAGTTGCCAAAAAAACAGACTAACTGGAACTTCCAGGGAACAGGAAGAACATGCTTGTTATTTAGAGCATAAACTCACACACACACAAAAAATGTCAGTTAGATGTGATAAGATTTTGAAAGCATTTTTCCGTCTCATATCCCATGGAGAACAAACATATTTATTAGAGGAGAAAAGTAAAGAAAGTGGATGGAGGAACCTTAGATATTCAATCAGTTTCACAAATTCACCCAACTGTGTTTAAATCCATTTGCTTTTGGATACCAATCAAGATAAACTGCACAGTTAACTGCAGCTGCCGCTAAATATATCTTGTGTTACATAATGCACATATGTTGTTTTTGGAGTGATGTTATCATGTACCCCCCCCCCCCCACCCCACCCCCTCTCTGTCTCTCTCATATATTTTCCAGGTGTAGAACCAGACTTCAAGGTTTCAACTGTTATTCTCAATCTCTGCTCTGTTATTTCACCTTCTCATTCGTAAAACTTTTTGCCTCAATCCTTTCCTTTTTTGTGTTTTTACGTCATTATATTGTTTATTTTTTCATACAGGTAAAATATCCAGTTTAGCATTATTTATTTATTTATTTATTTATTTACGTGTTTATTTGAACAGGGACAGTGCACATTAATAAACATTTCTGTAAATGAGCCAGTGTTAGCTAAGTAGCTAATTTTCAACTGTAGTCCCTGGGCAAGGTTTAAAATGTCAACATAATAAAAACAACATCATTAAAAATTAGTGCAAACAATAAAATACATAGGTAGTAATCTACATAAAAGTTGGACATTGATCTGTAAAAAACAAAGACGTTATTATAAATATAAGATTTAAAAAGCATTGATAAAAGTGCATCAGACAGGCAGACAGAAGTTATTGATTATGATTACAGGTTTGATTCTCCTGTAACCATGCTTTTAACATGTTTTTGAAAGTTCTGTATGAGTCAGCATTGCGTATATGAGTTGGAATGGTGTTCCAGGACTGAGCTGCTCGCACTGAGAAGGCTGACTGACCAAATTAGCTTTTTCTCAGTGGGACTGTAAGGTTATTTGAAGAGACAGATCTGGTGAGTCTGCTACTTTGTGTGAAAAAAGCGGTAAGTGGTGGTGGAGCAAAGCCATGTAAAATTTTAAAGACCAGGTTTGCATCATGAAATGTAACTAAATTTTCCCAGTTTAACAGGACATGTTTGTCCAGTATACTACAATGATGAAAACGAAAGCAATATTGAAACATTATTGAAAGCAATAATGCTGCTCTTGTGACGGTATCTGTTGGCTTTCTTTTTGACATCAGAAAGCAATTCTGAGTGCTTTAGTGCCTGAAAGGAAACCTAAAAAATAAGAATACTAAAAGATCCATAGTGTTATTTATATTCCACAACAGAGGGAACTCAATCCTGAATTAGAGTAAAAATACGGGACATTTAGGAAAACTGGACATTAGTTAAAAATGTATAAATAAAACATTTAAAAGCGGGGAGTGGATGCACCATTACCTCCCTACTGATCCTATCACCTTAGTCATCCAGAGGCTCCTCTCTGGTCATCGAGGTTATATAAGAAATAAACAGATTTACAACAGAGACATTTTTTTCCTAAAGTATTTTTAAAAGAATTTCACGTTTCACCGCATTTTCAGCTACTGGTTTTCTAGGTGGTGTCCTTAAAAAGAAGTTTACTGTGTTGATAATTGCCAATCTTTTGGAGAGACGGCATCCATGGATGCATAATGGATGATGCAGCTCTTCTTTCTGACAATCTGGCCAAATGTTTTAGTCCATCCAAACCCTGACAACCCAGGGTGCAGACCAGGAAGCAGAGTTTTAGTTTAATCCACCACTCTGCAGATTCTTTATTGTTACCCACTCATTATTCCATCCAGACATTGTCTTGCCCACAACCAAAATCAAATAAATTAGAAAAGAATTTTAAAGGATTAAATCCTGATTATCAAGTTAAAATGAAAATGACTCCAATTGAAAAGTTAAAACTATTAAATGTTTATTCAACATTAGATCTCTTTTTTCAAAATGTCTTTTAGGTAATGACTTAATTTGTGATAATCAAATTGTCAGGGTTCCTGTGTGTGGGTTAGTGTGAGTTGTGCATCTCTAATATAGAGGATCTTTGTGAAGATCTTGGGTAGCCTACACAGGTGAAAGAGATCTTTATAATCATAGTGCTGAGCTTAAAAGAGCACCAGAGCCTATATTCAGTGCTGGTTTCTTGTGTGTTGAAGATGTTAGTTGCTCCCTAGTATTTTTCCTGACCTTTATTGGTTTTGTTTGGTTTTAAGTATTTTTGTATTTTGGATTTTTGCCTCTGTTTCCCTTGGACTTGCATTAAAACCATCCAAACTCATCCGTGCCTACTCCTCTCTGCATTTGGGCCCTCAAAACCTCCACCAAACCTGACACAAATTAATTTATGCTGCCTTACAGAAACTTGGTTGCAGCAAGAGGATTGTGAGCATAAATGAGGCAACTCCCTCTAGTTATTTAGATTGTCTGGGCGAGGAGGAGGAGTAGCAACAATCTTTCAGTCTGACTGACTGATTACTCCAAAGGCAGTTATTATTTACAACTCTATTGAACATTTAACACTTAGTTTCCCTCATCCAAATTGCAAAGCCACAAAACCTCTTCTTTGTTTAACTTTGTTTCATGCACCATGTCCTTACTCTGAATTTTTAGATGAGTTTTTAGAGTTTTTCTCTGATTTTGAGTTGAATACTGGCAGGGTCGTCATAGTGGGGGATTTTAACATCCATGCTGACATTGAAGGCGATAGCTTAAGAGCAGCCTTTAATGCTATCTTAGACGCTATTGGCTTTGTTCAAAATGTGAATAGTCCCACACATTCTCATCTTCATACTTTGGACCTTGTTCTGAGATACGGCATAGAATGTGAAGAAATAACAGTCTTTCCTCCTGTCCTCTCTGATCACTTTTCAATAACCTTCAGAATTATTTAACAGAATTCTCCTCCCACAAAAGGTTTGACTTTAGCTGATCATTATCAGATAGTGCAGATATACATTGTAAATGTGTACGACTTTCTTTCTCCTCTGTATCACTGAACAAATTGATGATTTTGTTGATGGGGTTGCTGGTTTTCTGCATACTGCCTCAGACAAGGCAAAAAAAAAACAACAAACGTTAAAATGCACACTGAAGCAAAATGCTAGGAAACTGGAGAGAAAATGGCGCTCTTCATACCAACTAGAATTCTATAGTCTCGAAAAAAGTTTACTGCTGTATAGGATGACCCTTCATGAAGCAAGAGAGCATGTTTCTCCTAATTAATTGAGGAGAATAAGAATAATCCCAGATTTCTTTTTGATACAGTTACCAAACTCACCCAGAGCCATAGCTCTGTTGAACCGTCCATCCCACCCGCTGTCAGTAGTAATGATTTTATGTGATTTTCTATAAATGTGATTGAGTCTAATTAAAAGTTAGATCATTAGCACTCCTCTAACTATGATTTTTTTTTTTTTATCTCTGGAAGGTGAGGCAGCATCTGAGGAAGCCATAGAATCTGAACCGGGTTTAGACTGCTTTGATCCAGTTTAACTTTCAGAGTTAGCAAAACTATTATCTTCATCTAAGCCTTAAATTTGTATGTTAGATCCATTTCCGACTAAGTTATTTAAGGAAGTATTCCTTCTGATTTCTACTTCCAGTTTAGTTGATATTAGCTTCATCTGGTCTGTTCCTGTTTGGCTGTGACTCCATCCTGGAGAGAAATATCAGCTGTGCTGCTGCCATCAACACCTTTGTTTCTAGATGTTGGAGCTTGGCCTGTTTTCCAGTGTAGTCCTGTTTCTCTGACTGTGACTAACTGGATGTGCTCTCTTCATCCTCTGACATGGGAGCTGGCTCGGAGCTCGTCTGCCTGGCTGTGTGTTTCCTGGACGGGGCCGCCTGTGGAGCTGGTTGACAGTTGCCTTTTGTATTTATGCTCACCATGTTAAGACTGGACTCTCTTGATGAGATGACTGGAGACTGGTGTGCTACTGCTTGGTAGGAAAGAAAACCTGCAACCACAGCCCTTTCTGGAACCAGTTTGACATCCCTGCCCTAAAGGGTAAAATGTCCTTTGAGGGATGCAGTGACACCTAGTGGAACAAATAGTAACTTGCAGCCTTTAAAGGTCCCTCTCCAGTCACACAAATGTTAAGTTTGATTTGGAGAAACAGCAGGATACGTCTGGACTTTGATTGCGTTCTTCTATGGGGAGCTGTCCAGCAGAGGTCCTGTTGGACACTAACTTCTTCCATCTAATGAAGATCCTGCAGAGCTGCTGGAAGTTCTCGCAACAGCAGACCAGCAGAAACTCTGAAGAACACATCACCTACACATTGCATGAACCAGATCAACCCAACAATGCAAATGAACAATGTTTCTGAATCAAAGCTCAGTACAGAACCTGTTTCTCCAGCTTTGGCAGAATTCAGTTCATCTAAAGAACTTCAAGGTGTTGCTGGAGTCGAGGTCACAACCTGAGCTGTTGCTGATAAAACCTCTTATCAGAGGAAGGCAGGAGGCTGGTCAGCAGGAGATACGAGTGTGTGTGTGTGTGTTCAGATTAAAGGCAGCCTGTAGTCCCTCCTCCCCTGCAGCCCTCTATATATTCAGTGGTGAATCCGGTAGGCTGCACTCTTCTGCAGACTCTCAGAGTGTGAGGGAGTGTGTTCAGTAGTGAGAGAGTGGCTGAGAGACACCAGCTCTGACTGAAACATTGACACCTGGTTGCATGTGTGAAGTTTAGAAGATGATTGAGAACTACAACATTCCTTTCTGGATCTACCTGGCTGTAGTGTCTATGTTTGTGGGTGGAGCCATGAAGAAGATCCTGGCATGCCACCTGAGCGTCGGCCCCACTCTGGTGGCCTGGCTGGGGGCCACGGTTCTGGTGGAGCGGCTGTGGGTCTTCTGCCTTCCAGCCATGCTGCTGCTGGTGCTGCTTGCTGCCATGGGCTGCATCTACTCACGGTCCAGGACCGCCCAGCTGCCCAACCTTCCTGCCCAGGGCAAAGCTGTCTTCATCACAGGTAAGAGGAGCCCCCCCCCCTATTACTCTGAGGTGTGCTGGAAACTTAAATATAGAGTTGAGATTATAACACTTTATGAATGTAGTTGGAAGGGAAATACACCTTTCAGTATCTCAAAACTGGAGTTCATATCTAAGTAGATAGAAAAATAATTACATCATATTTAACTGCAGCTTTTCTGTAGCAGAAATAAAATCTTGCAATAACTTTTAGATTAAAGGGAAACCTTCAAAGTTCCTTAGAAGAAAGATTTCTCTGTATATTAGAACAAAAATAGAAATGTTTTCTATCCTGATCATGTTCTTCTTTCCTTAAAGAAAAATAAAAAGATCAATAACCTGAGTTTTTAATAAGTGTACCTGAGTTGGTAATAATTAGGGTGTCTATGATAGGAAGTCAATGGAAAGTCCCCACAAGAATAGTGCAACACAACATGTGTTTGTGTTTACTTGTTTATTTAACCTTTAGGACTCTTTTTGATATATTTACTATCTTTCTGAGGTCCAAATGTGGTAAATCCCCATTTTTTGTTAGGGAGTCAATTTAGAGGTATGTTGTGAATTCACTTTAGGTTATGTTATGGTAAATGTCAGGGTTAGGCATAAATGTATGAGCTAAAATACATTTAAAGTCGTATATATTGATAGAATGTGTCGGGGGGGGGGGCTAGTGTTGCTCTGTGTTTGCGCTGACCTCTGCCTCCACTTCAGGCGCTCTGTGTTTCTGTTAACGAGATAATCAGTTGTGGGGATTAATGCGAGGCTTTAATAACTCTCTGCTGTGATCTGTGGAGGAAATCAGAACGGTGGAAACTTTCCCAGCCGGCTACTCAGAGAGGCTGGTGTTAGATCACCTGCTGGTAGCAAACTCTCCTCCTTATTAGTGTCAGAAGGAAGCAGAAAATATTCCCAACATCAGAGAGAAATGGGTTAAAACGATGGTGGAGCAGCGCAGATCTTTGATTAGAGGCTTTAAGCAGGAAACGAGCTCCATTCTGCTGCTTTTCAAAGGTGCTGCTTTGTTTAAATCAGTGACGTTAATGTCACCAACCTGCAGTTTTTCAATAATACACCTCAGGTCCAGCCAGATAAACTGCTGCTGACAGGAAATCTCCTCTGCTGTGGAGGATAAAGAGATGACATAATGAAAAGGTCACCAACTATCAGCCTCTGTACACCGAACACCAGCCTGACTCAATCAATCAACTCCAACCTCAACTTTACTCACCATCGTCTGTCCTGCAAAGATGGGATTAAAGCTGAGTGTGAAAAAGTTATCCCACATGATTTAATGATGAACTGATCATCTTTGATCGGGGGGGGGGGGGGGTTTCTATGACAACAGCAGTCACAGCGTTGAGTTTTATCTCAATACAATGTCAAAGCAGAAAGGAATCAGCACCGACATCAGAGATCCAACGATGCCATAAACATAAAAAAAAAATATTTCAGACAAATTGTGAGATTTATTTATACTATCAAAACAAAACTATTAAATAAACCTTATATGACGTATATTCATTCATTTAGAATGGCTTTTTATTTAAAATACATAACTGTTAGGTTTATGTATTCAGAAATATTAAAGTATATTTACTCAAAATTAATACTCAATAACATAAAGTTTATTTGTTTGAATTGTATGATAATGTTGTTACCTTAATGCAATTATAAACAATGAACTTAGTGCATTTTAAATAGATAAACGTATTATTATCTATTTTGAGAAAGTATACTTTAATAAATCAAAATACATAAACCTGATTATTATGAATTCTGGATAAAGTCAGGTTTATTTAATAGTTTTGTGTTAAAATGATCTAAAATGATCGAAAGCATCATGAAGTCATTTCTAACTATTCAGAGTCCATCATCCTGCAGAGAGCGAGATAGATCACTACAAAGATGGCAGACAGTCTCCGTAGAATGACTCAGCAAGAAGCTCGGAGAAATGACCCAAAAACTCAAATTTCCACCTCAGATTAAACAGATTAGCAGATGAAAGTTCAAATGTTCTGACCCTAAACCGGTCTGGCTACTCTGAGGCGACGGAGGAGAAGGCCTATCCTCTCCAGACATGGACAAAACCAGAAAAATGGTCTAGACTCAGTATCAGATCTGAGTTAAGAGCTGAATCTCAGTCCCAAAAAGAGCAGTCAAACTCTGTACTGATGAGAACGCTGCGACGGGACCTTCAGGGATGTGCAAAAGTCCCAACCATTGGAACCCTGTTGGAAAGCAGAGGGGATAAAGAGAGCTCAGCTGTTGCAGGAGGTTCAACATGCTGCCCCGTTCTGTGTGATTCAGCAGAAAGAGACATGCTTAACATGACTTAGCAGTTTTGTCTCCAAAGTTTCGCCTGAATCATGGGAAGACATCATTTCAGGCCCGCCACTGAACCTGGTTCTGCTGGAAATGTCTTCCTGTAAGCAGAGTTTTTCCTCTCCACTCTAAAACTCTAAAACTGACCTTATGGGTTTTCCTTGTCCTTTACCTGAGTCTTTACTCAATTCTTAGGAGAGTTTCTAACCGAGTCTTTTAAGAGTTTAGTCTCAAATTACATAGTCATTCAAACCAAATCCCAGATCCAAGTCTTTTTTGAGAGTTTTTTTCCTTTTCTTGACCTCCAGCCTCTTCAGTTTTTTTTTTCTTCCAAGTCTTTGGCCAAAGTCTCGTATGAAGTCCAGTACAGCACTTACTGTTGTTCTTACTGTTAAAATAGAGTTTTTCCTCCCCACTCTCGCTCTGGTCTCTAAAACTGACCTTATGGGTTTCCCTTGTCCTTTACCTGAGTCTTTATTCAATTCTTAGGAGAGTTTCTAACCGAGTCTTTTAAGAGTTTTGCCTCAAATTACATAGTCATTCAAACCAAATCCCAGATCCAAGTCTTTTTTGAGAGTTTTTTTTTCCTTTTCTTGACCTCCAGCCTCTTCAGTTTTTTTTTTCTTCCAAGTCTTTGGCCAAAGTCTCGTATGAAGTCCAGTACAGCACTTACTCTTGTTCTTCCTGTTAAAATAGAGTTTTTCCTCCCCACTCTCGCTCCATGCCTGCTTGGTTTGAGGGATTGCTGTATAGTCAGCAGCAAAATCAAAACATTTGGCTGGAAACAGGTTGCAGGTTCAGTCTGATCATATAATCCAATAAAGCCACTCAGGGTAGACTTGGTGAAGACATGCAGCAAATGATCTGATGTCTGGAATCAAACCCAGGTCAGCTCTAGTCTCCACAGCTGACCTTATGGGTTTTATTTCAGGTCCTTGACCTGAATCTTTACTCAATTCTTAGGAGAGTTTCTAACCGAGTCTTTTAAACAAGTATTTTGTCTCAACTTACATAAGCAATCAAACCATGATGGACGAGGCTTTATGTAGGATCTGCACCTCAGGCCTTTTCTTCCAAGTCTTTGGTCAAAGTTTTGTATTTAAAGTATACAAGTCCTTTACCTGAGCCTTTTATGTCTTCCATTCTTCTTTTAATTACCTTATATTTCTGCGCAAATATATATATATATGTTGTTTTTTTCTGGTATCTATATGATTGTTTTCGTTATATTTTGTTCCTCCCTTTCGTTTCTCCACCTTTCTCTATTTTTCCATCCTTTCTTTCCCTCTTTCTATTTTTGCATCTGACATTTCATGTATTTGTGTTCCCACATGCGTGTTCCTCCCTCTCTCTGCACCTCCCACCCTCCTCTCTTCTCCTGGTTTCTGCTGCTGCTGCAGAGTTCATTCCAGTTCAGTTTCAAGTGAGCAAGGAGTAAATCGGTGCCGAAGAGTTCGTTTTGTTCTGGGACCGTTGTTTCCATCCTCATTAGATTTTAAGCACCGACTGAATTGTTGTGTAACACGTTTCCACACTGTGACCATTCCAGTGGATTTCTGCTTATGCAGAGAGGTTTGTTTCAGGGATGAGGCAACGCTGACCTTTGCTGTGCTGCCATATTGTCTGCAGAAAACAAGAAAAACAACCTCAGAACAACAGAGTGTTTCCTAACGACTGTCTGGGTTCACACAGATGATCTGAAATCAGCACAATCCTCTCTGGGACCGACCGATTGGAGAGGCGCTGATTGCAGTCAAGGAGAAAGAAAGAAAACAAGGTCAAAATGAGATCAAATCCCAACATCTGTCATTATTCATGATGAGGAAATGGCAGAAGTTGCAGAAGTTGATGTAGGTTTTCTTGGAAGAAACCTCATTAAAAAACCCAGGAAAGCAGGTAGTAAAAGTTGAGGCTCTGATGATTTTAATGAGGCTGAAGTAACGAGACAAACATGATAGAGTACACCTTAAAGTTATTGGGTCTCGTTGTTAGACGCAGTGTAATCATTATTCTCATACTTTTCTTTCTTCTGGCTGTAACATAACCTTAACACCAATAACATCTTGAAGCATTCCCAGGGATCCACGGATCGCTCAGCAGGGGCCCTCCTTCTTGCTGTGTCTGATCAGGCAACAAACAGACCAAATGAGCCCGACAGAAACTTCTCACGTTTGGATAGAAGTCTTACAGAACTGCCAAAAGCACCTGGTGGTGCGCTCTACATCTATTTACCATTAAAAGAACTTCACAACTTCTTTCTTACCTCTTCCTGTGTATCATTTGGTATGATCACCTTTCTGAATGTTGCCAGGGTGGCCAGAAAGATGAGGAATAATTCTATTCAGTGTATTTCTATAGCTCCAATTCCCATCATGTCATCTCAGGTCACTTTCCAGTTCACCAGATCATCCAGTCAGATTGATTCAAAGTTTTCTATCTAAGGAAAACCAGCTGATTGCATCGACTCATTGACTCTTCAGCAATCCCTCACACTAAGCATGCTTGTAGCGACAGTGGAGAGGAAAAACTCCCTTTGAACAGGAAGAAACCTCCAGCAGAACCAGGCTCAGTGTGAGCGGCCATCTGCTGAGGCCCACTGGGGTTCAAGGAGACAGAAGCAGACATAGAAAAAGAAGCATAGATACAAAAGGCAACTGTCAACCAGCTCCACAGGCGGCC